ATTTTATTTTACCCTATTTTACCTTAATAAAAAATGGCGACGACGAAGACAGAGGACATGCTGCCCTTTTAGGGGGATTCCAGGGGGCGATCGAACGCGCGGCTGGAGCCGGGCTTGGAAATAACGGGGGTGGAATTGCGGAACGGGGTTGCCACCCCGACGCGTGCAATTCCGCCCCCGGCGTCGACGTAAACGAATTTCCTCCTCGACGGCGAGTTCTTAAAAGGGCCCCGGCGGCCATTTTGTCGGCGCCGTTCCCGCACAATGGAAACCTCCCTTAACGCGAATCATCCCCTGTTTCTCGGGGAGTTATCGGGAACGAATCGATGGTGCATCCCGAGAAGTCAGGAAATCCTGGAAGGGAAATGTTCGGAAAGGTGCGGAACCCCCGCGGCGGCTGAAATGGAAACGGGGCAACGGAAGCGGTCCGTCCGCGTCGATAGTCAAACAATAGGGAACATCGGATAATAATGGACAATAATCGTCAACAATGGACAAGGACGAGCAACAATGGCGGGCGCTAAGTACCCGGTCGTCGGAAAATCGGGCGCGTCTCCAGACCGATCCACCGAGGAGGAGCGTCCCCGGGGGTTGTTTTCTACCCCATCAATCATCGTATTTACGAGGCCCCCGCCACCCCCGACGCCCGACGACGCGGTCGCCCCTGGGATGAAAGATGGCCGCCCCGGAAAGGCGAAAGGAGGACCTTTTTCCCGGACTTTGAGGATCGACGATCAGCGCCTTCTCCCCCGCAAAGCCCACCCGCGCGTAAAGGCGCCCTGGCTAAAGGGCGTCGCGACGCCCGGTTAAACGGGTCGCTATCTGCAACGGCTTCCCCGTGTAATCACGGGGACCCTCGAGACGCGGCCAGGTCGTGCAGGTGCGACGCGGCGTCGCGACGCCGCCGCCCCGGGAGCTACCCATTAATTCCGCCGCCCCTCGCCGGAGGCTGGCATAATGAAACGACGATGGAGCCTCGAAAACTCATAAATCAGAGCCCGGAGGAACCCCTTCTCTGCCCTGCGATCGGGCGGTTAATTAGAACAATTGATTTTGATTAACCGCTATCGTTAATCGAAGGGCGGGGGGTGGCAAACCGGCGAATCAATCGCAAAGGGATGCGAGCGCCGCGACGACGCGCCGCGGTCTGACGGTACGTCGCGCGGCGCGCAGTCGGGGCCGCGCACGCCACCCGCCAGGGGCGCCGCGGTCGCGCCGCCGAGGTATGGAGTCTAGGCTCGCGCGGGGGAGCGTCAGTTGGTGTCCGGCGCTTGGACGGGAAGGTCGCTCCGGTTCCCGGTAAGTCTCGTCTTTTCGGCGGTATCTCGCGGGGCGCGCAATTTCGGGGCCTCACCGCGGGGACCTCGCGGCCCTCGCGCGATATACCGTCCCTTTTCAATGAAGTACATCGGGTACTTCTCGGTTTCGCGTTCCAATTCGGGGCCCCCAGGCCCTTCCGACGCGTGTGTCTCGTGTGAGTGAAGTTCGACCCACCACTGGCGATGACTTCTTCCACCTCCACGTCCTCACATCCGGCGGCAGCCGAGTGAAGTTCCGGCTAGGTGATAAACCTTCCATTAATACTAGAAGCCAAGTAGGGAAGTTCGACCTTCAGGCCCCGAATATCGGGCCCGAGGGTCCTGGGGAGAGCCTGCCCCCCTCCTCCCGTAATCGATAATCGGGCTCCGCGTCCCCGCGCATTCCCTCGCGAAGTCGCGAGCCTGAACTTCGGCCGAAGTCCTACGCGGTTCCCGCGGGTTCGCGGGAGTCCCTTTGTCGTCGATATCGGGCCCGAGGCTCGCCGGAGGCGCGACCCCTAAAGCGGCTCTTCAGGGCCCGCACTTCAAGGGCTCCTCAGAGTCCCTGAAGTAGGCGCTGCTCGAGGGGTTTGCCTCCGGAGCTAATTTCGCCGTTTCCTCGACGCCTCGATTCGAAATCCCCCCCTCTCCCTGGCGGAGGAATTGCGCGACAAACCCCATTAACCCCCGAAATAATTAATCCGTCCGGGACACTTGTTCGCGGGGTAAAATTAAGGAGAAAAAGGGGAGGGAATAAAACTAGCGCGGTTGAATAATTCTCTCGCGTCGCGATTTAACGCGAGCCCCTTTTTCCGGGCCGGTTTCCACGCGCGAGCGAGTAAAAATTTAATCATCGGATTTAACCGTCCTCTCCTTCCCCTCCCCCCCCCGTTTTTTTATTGTTAACTAAGCTCGTTCTCGTAACGCCGCTTGTTGTTCGGACTGTTCGTTAAATTCCTCCCCGGCAAGCTCTCTCCCTCCCTCTCCCTTGGCGCTCTCTTTTGCCGCAGTCTGGGTATTATAATTCCCGTAATGGCGATAATTGGGTACTCCCGGTGGGGGAGGGCGGGGGGATTTTTCAATTATTCCAAGGAGCGGCCGCCAGGCCAATCCGCGCCGCTTTCCGTTGAGCCGTCGACCGTCCCAGGGGAAATCCTCCGGAGTGGGTGGAACTCCCGGTTACTTTCGCGAGGATATTCTCGGGCGATCGTTCGACGGGTCTGAATTCCCGAGGGTGAAGGGAAAAGAAATTATCCCTCGCCTGTTGCTTTGCACATCCGGCGGTGATGTCACGTAGGAGCGAATTATTCGCCCGAAACTCTAGGAGGTCCGCCCTTAATCGTTTTAGTGCCACACAGCGCGTACTGTGGAGAACTGTGTCTCGCGATCTTTGGTCCCGATCGTCAATTCGCAACGCTATCGCGCTTCATGGCACAATCGGACACGGATTTTTAACCCTTTCGGTACGCCTTTCTGTCCACCGAGACACTCCCGCTGTACGAGGCGCCCCTCCGAAAATGTACACATAGTGCATGCATACAGGCTGTCACATGGATGCCGGATATATCCGGCACTCGTACACACAGGTCATCAGATGGATGCCGGATATATCCGGCACTCGTACACACAAGTCATCCGTTGGATGCCGGATATATCCGGCACTCCTACACACAAGTCATCAAATGGATGCCGGATATATCCGGCGCTCGTACACACAGGTCATCAAATGGATGCCGGATATATCCGGCGCTCGTACACACAGGTCATCAGATGGATGCCGGATATATCCGGCACTCGTACACACAAGTCATCCGTTGGATGCCGGATATATCCGGCACTCCTACACACAAGTCATCAAATGGATGCCGGATATATCCGGCGCTCGTACACACAGGTCATCAAATGGATGCCGGATATATCCGGCGCTCGTACACACAGGTCATCAGATGGATGCCGGATATATCTCGTACACACAGGTCATCAGATGGATGCCGGATATATCCGGCGCTCGTACCGAAAGGGTTAAAAACCCCTGGCACTGAAACGGTTAAAGGTAGGCTTCCGCTCCCCAGGGGTCGTAACTCGGCGCGGCGGGTTCTTTTTCCGAGCCGACAGACGCAGGATCGTTCTGATAAGATATAACGACATGGACGGCGACAGTGAGGGAGAGAGAGGGGAGGTGGAAAAAGCGCGTAATTCTTCGGAGGGAGATGGCGGAGCCCGTTAATGGATTCCCCGTTATGTAAGGCAGGTGTAACGCGGGGGAGGGAGAGAAAGAGGGAGATCGCGAGTCCGGAACTGGAGAGAGTGAGATATATATATACATATATACATATATATATGTATATATGTATATATTTACACATATATACGGAGCCAAGAGAGCGTTTGCTCGCACTCGGAGAGATGAGATCCGCGAGGGGAGCGCGAAAAACGCCAAAAAGTCGGTTCGCGGGAAACCCCCCCTGCCCCCCCGTCATTTCGCGGAAAACCTCCCGAAAGGGAAGCATTTCGAAAAAGGTGGACGAAAAAGAGACGGAGAGCGGGGAAAAAGGAAATCAGTTCCGATCACCCGTCCCTCTCTGGACGTGAACGATCCGGCCCGAAATTTTCCGTCTCCCTTTCCGCTCGGTTTCGTCCCCGTTTTTTCCACTTTTTGTTTTTCCTCTCTTCTTTTTCCTTTTTTTTTTTTCTAATTTTTCCCATCCATCCGCCGACACGGTTTCCGTACGGGTATCCCGGACACTCGGCATTCTCTCTCTATCTCTCTACATCCATCCGTCCCTCTGCATACGACTCTTTATCTCTCTCTCTCCCTATATATGTATATACATAGGCGTATGTCTCTCTCTGTCCCCGCACTCCACATGGCCGGGATACGACCGCGCAATAAAAATGGCGAGTCACTCAATCCGAGAGAGTAAACGACGAGTCGTTTCGCTGGGTCCTCGTTTTTCTTTTTTCTTCCTCCCCCCAGACCACCCACCCACCNCACCCACTCTTCTCGGTATCCGGCCCCAAATCGAGAGAGATCGATCGCGTCGAAGAAGGAGAGAAGAAAAAATGGAGAAAACGGGGGGAGGAAAGAACCACCCCACCGGGGAGAAATTACTAATTGCATCCCCGCGGAGTCGGCTCACCCCATTCGAGTGGGGGAGAGAGAGAGAGAGAGGGGGGGGAGGTGAAAAATGAGGAAATAAATTCGAAAAATCGAAGAACTCCCCTCGAAGAGCTCTCCGTCGATTTTTCAAGCGACGTTTACGTCGATTCACGTGGACAGGAGGGGGCGGGGCAGGGGGGGTAATCCGCATTAGGGGTGCGTCCAATTTGTCAGCGAAATCCTGCCGGGAGGAGGTTATCCTTCGCCCTTCCTCTTACGATCCGAGGAAAATCGAGGGAATCCAGGAGCGCGGTTTAATCCCTTTATGTCCTTTCTCCCGAAGGATAGGCGCCTCGAGGACCTGGCAGGATGACACCGGGAGGACCCTTCCTGGACGAGGCGAAGGACTCTGGATGGAGGTCCTGCGGTATCCGTGATAACGGGCCCACGGGAATCCGGATGGTGCGGTCCCTTTCCGGCGAGGTCCTCGGAGCAACCCGAGGGTCCTCGTGATTCCCTGGGACTCGCGACCGGGTTGATAAGGAGGACCCGGAGGAGACTTAGATACATGTGGCATCAGTGAGGGGGTGTCCTTTGGCATAATGTGCTGCTCCGGGGGCGCCGGGGGCACCAGGATGACGAGGTGCGGCCTGGTCTGCGGATTGGCCGCCCTGGCCGCCCTAACGACCGCCCTCCTGGGCCCTGCTTGGCTCCACACCGAGGAGAGGCTTTACCTGCCCCACCTGCCCAGACACCTCGCCGCCACCGTCAGCGTCAGGTTCAAGCTGGGCCTCTTCAGGGCGTGCCCGAAAATCGTCAAGCCGGCCAACCTGACTGCGCGTGAGTACTCGAATTTCTAGCGGACCTCGGTTGGGGATCTTATTTTGTCCGGGTATTCCCTCCGCGGAAAAGAAAAGAATGAAAAAGAAGAAAGAATGGTCAGGAAAAGTACAATTGTGGTAATCGTCACCCAGGGCGTGCCCGAAAATCGTCAAGCCGGCCAACCTGACTGCGCGTGAGTACTCGAATTTCTAGCGGACCTCGGTTGGGGATCTTATTTTGTCCGGGTATTTCCTGCGCGGAAAAGAAAAGAATGAAAAAGAAAAAACGAATGGGGAGGAAAAGCACAATTGTGGTAATCGTCACCCAGGGCGTCTCCGAAAATCGTCAAGCCACCCAACCTGACTGTGTGTTAGTACTCGAATTTCTAGCGGACCTCGGTTGGAGGTCTTATTTTGTCCGGGTATTCTCTGCGTGGAAAAGAAAAGAATAAAAAAAAAGAAAGAATGGTCAGGAAAAGCACAATAGTGGTAATCGTCACCCAGGACGTCTCTGAAAATCGTCAACCCGCCCAACTCGACTGCGCGTGAGTACTCGAATTTCTAGCGGACCTCGGTTGGAGGTCTTATTTTGTCCGGGTATTCCCTGCGCGGGAAAGAAAAGAATAAAAGAAAGAATGGTCAGGAAAAGCACAATAGTGGTAATCGTCACCCAGGACGTCTCCGAAAATCGTCAACCCGCCCAACTTGATTGCGCGTGAGTACTCGAATTTCTAGCGGACCTCGGTTGGAGGTCTTATTTTGTCCGGGTATTTCCTGCGCGGAAAAGAAAAGAATAAAAAAGAAAAAACGAATTGTCAGGATAAGCACAATTGTGGTAATCGTCACCCTATTACGATTATGTATGAATGATTTCTTTCCGCGTGAGTGTCCTTGATTTCACCGACTTCATACAATTTTCCCTGCGACTTCGCCTCGTCAACGGGGGTGGGCCTCTTCAGGGTATATCGGGAGATCGTCGGGGATTCAGGGAACCCCCTCGCACCGCCCGGCTTGGTCCCCAGGGGGGGCTGAAAATCCTGGGAAGACGGCGGAGGTGCCTGACGACCGGGGAGGGTGGACGTAAAAACAAATGACGACCCAGGAGGGGGTGGCTGTCGCGAGGGGTGGTCGACACGGCCGGGACGATGACAATTCGTTTTTATTTCCCCGACGGCACCGAGGCCCGCTCTTTATTTTCTCCACCGAGGGAGACACCCCTCGGCTGTTACCCCTCCGCCCTGGATGAGATTCTCGATTTTCGATCCCCTCGAAAATCCCGGATCGCATCTTCAACCCCTTCGGGCACCTCCTCGGGAAAGGAGGAACGACGAGGACGCGATCGGAGATGATGGGGATGGGGAAAGAAAAATATGGCCTACCCTGAAATTGATAAATCACGGGGGTGGCGCATTGATGGATCGCCCGATAGACTCCACTTTCCACGTTTCATCCCCCCCGAGGGATATTTTCTTCTTCTTCTTTTTCTTTCTCGCCATCCTTAGTCCTTGTCTTCCTTGGGGGAACCGTCCAATGGAGAAAAATCGTCACCCTGACTGGGGGGGTAGTTAATTCAAGGTGCATCCCACTTGAGTATTCAAAACGACATTCCCCCAAAAAAGAGTATATATGAATTTTACTTTATCAACGTGGATTAAATTTCTCAGCGCCTTTCATACCCTCTTAACAAGGCCCCCTGTACGTGGGGTGCACTTTGATACCCTAGAGAGAGACTGAGGGAGGGAGAAAGGGGTGGTTCCTCGGGGTTCCTCGTTCCCGGTGCATAAGGGACCATTCGGGGCCATTTAGGGATTCCTCGGGATTACTCGGGACCGCCCAGGAGGACTCGGGATCGATTCGGGATCTATTCGGGATCCCGAAAGTGGCGGCGCCGAAAGCGCGCGGCCGTTCCGCGGCGTATTTACGTCCTGTGTACCAACGGGGACCACTAATGCCGGGGTTACCGAGGAACATTAGCATAGCATTAGCCGTTTGCATTAATCCGGAATACATCAGCCGTCACCGCGAGGAATGCCACCCTTAATAGGAAATTGGGGGGGAAAGCGGACGAGCTTTTGATGGCTTTCCCCGATTTCCTCGCGGGGGTGAGGGCCGACACCCCTAGAGGACCCTCGAATCCTCGAAAATGGAGAACAATAGGGTAAGAAAGTGTCTTGGGGCGAAAAAACGGGGGGAGAGTAACGAACGAGGGGCGAAAAAACGGATTAAGTTCGTCTCCGGGGGTGGAGGCGGTTTCCGGTGTGACAATTGATTTTCCCCCTGCCATATTTCCCCTTCCGGGGCGGAGGGGCGAAGGATTTGCCTAATTATTAAATCTCGTCCAAGTTTTAACACTCGTTAGGGGAAGTTCACCCCCCCCTCTCCCTCTCCCGCCGTAGAATTTATTCTATTTTCTTTGGGGGTCGCGGCTCGCGGATCTCCCGCAACTCCGAGTACCTTCGAAAATCGGGGGTGAGATCGCCCCAGGCGACGGGACTCGGGGGTGTCGCTCGTAATTCCCATCTGCAAGGGTGAAGGGGGGGGGCGGAGGGGATCTTCCTAATTTCCGGGATCGGCCGTTTTAAATTCCGCCCGTGAACCTCCCCACCCGTGACTTCCTTCCCAATTTTCATCTCATTTCTTCGGTTTCTTTCCTTCTTTTTTTTTCGTTCTTCTTTTTTTTTTCCCCCGTCGAAGCGCAAAGGGAACGAACCCTCCGAGACTTTCGCGGGGAAAAATCCACGGAGACCCTGGAGACTCGAGAGAATGATCGATATATATATATTCCCCTAGAGCCGGCCGACTTTCCGTTGGAACCGCCAGTCGACCCCTCGCGGGCAAACGTCTCGAGGAATCGCGGATGGGACAGTTCTCTTCCGATTTCGCGATGCCCTATGGCGGGGGGGAGGTTGCAGAAATTGCGAATCGTTCCAAAAGGAGGAAAATGGTGTATCAATGGGGGGAGGGGGGGAGAGAGAGGAAACCGCGGTCGTCGATTTTTCAGGGGGGGGAAGTCGCGACCTGGGGCTGGGAATCGACGTCCCCCTGGGCAAGAGGGAGGAATCGCGTTCTCTCCTGTTTCTTCCAAGACCCTCAGACCCCTCAGGGTCCTCCTCGGAGATGGGACGAGACCCCTGGAAGCTGCTTTCATCCCCCGAGGGACGGTCTCGGGCTTTCTTTAAATCCGCCGGCGCTATTCTAGGAGTCCACCTCGTCGATCGCCCGTAATTCCCCGTCGATTGACTCTCCGTGCCCTCCCCCCGCCCTCCCTGGTCGCGGGGGAGGGAAATCTCCCAGACAAAAATGGTCGATCAGGGTCTCCTCCGAAACTTTTCCCTCGGGAGTTTTCCCCTAATTCGCGGTATTTCGGCGGAATCGGGAGGGTGGAAGGGGGGCTCCGAGCCCGCGACTTCTGAACTCTCTCTCTTTCTCTCTCCATAAGAACCTCTGGGATTTTGATCCTTTCGATTCGCGGGGGGTCTCGTCACCCTTTGCACGAAATTCGGAGCTTTCGACGGGAACGGCCCAGACTTCCGGGGTAGCTCATAGTGGTAAATAAACGGCAGGGGGTGGTCGGGCGGGGTGGAGGAAGCTCCGCCGGAGAAAGATGACCCGCGAGCGGGAGCGAGAGGGAGGGAAATGAAAGTGCGGGGGTGCCGGGGNCTTACGAGCTTTCGCGGTGACGTATATACCCTCCCCCCCCCCACCTCGCGCGTGCCGGCTATGTGCTTACATACACGTATGTACTTTTACATACGCTTAAGACGTAAATACGTGTAAAGCGTACATGCCCGCCAGGGTGGCGGAAGCTAAGCCTCTCTGTCCCTCTCTCTCTCTGTCTCTCTCATCCTCGTTTCAATATCCCCCCCCCCTCCCACCCGTTTCGCCTGGTCCTCTTCTCTCGCTTTTCTCCCCCTTTTTTCCGAGTCTTCCGTGCACCGAGCCCGCCCTCTCTTCGTCCGTCCTTCGTATCTCCTCTTCTGCCCTCGTTTCGCATCCCCCCGTTTCTTCTGAGCCCTCCTCCTCCTCCTCCTCGTGCCGCCTCCCTTCTGCCTAGATCGCCGCGGAGCTTTTTCCCCCGAGGTTTTCCCGGCAAAATTCGCGGCGACTCGATGGGCACGGGGCTCGCGGGGCCCCCTCGGGAAAAGGGCAGGAATTTCATTAGCTTTTCCTCAGAGGGGCGGTCGCCTCCCCCCGAAAGCTCGGCGCTTCGGTATGTCGCCGATCGGCGGATCGATATCGGAATTCGATCCTTAACAGCGCACCGATCAGCTTTTTCGGAGCGCCTCGTCTGATCTCTGAGGTCCGGGTAGTACAGGGGGGTGTTTGCCCCCTCCCCCCCTCGAGGGGTATTGGTGTTTTAATTTCGCTTTTTCCCCATTTCCCGGGGGGAGTATCTCAGATCTCGAGACCGGTCCTGCGTATCGTCGATATTTCTTTTTTTTTTTTCTTTTTCCTGTTTTACCAGCTGCGGTTTCACGCCGAGGAGTTCAGGAAAATTCCGCACCCCAGGGGAGGATCGCTATCGCGAGTGAGAATTTTTTTTCACGGTCGTCCCACCCCCACGATTGAAGGGGGGAGGGGGGAAATGAAAAAAGGCAGAGGAGGTGGCGCGGCCGGGGCGCAATTTCCGCCCCCCGGGGGGCGGGGGCGATGTCCCGGGGACCACTCTCGCGGAAACAAGCGGTTTATGCGAAATTCTCTTGCAAATAGCTATCCCTCCCCCGCCAACCCCCCCTAACCCCTTCTATCGGAGACCATTCCCCGAAAACCTCCCACCCTGGGAGCTTAATTCACCGGCCCAACGGAGTGCATTTCCGGTCCGACCGATGAAGAAGACCTCGCCCCCCGTCAAGAGACCCCCTCCCGGAGGAGAGGATTCGACCCGCTGGATTGTTTCCCCGGAAGGGGGGCAGGAGGAAATTCGGAAAGTTTCGCGCAGCCGATAACGAGTCAATCCCCGAAGTCCCGTGGGGTATATTCGGGACTCGTTTCCCTTTTGGAGGCGAATTCCACCCCCCT